GAAAGATTGCAGCGACAACTGCCAGAAGAATTGTTCGGGATAGAAACAAAAACCCACAGGTAACCTCAGGAGAAATATGGGCTACTCTGGAACAAGATGGTGTGGTTGCTACAAGGAACACAACACGATGATATCTGAACAAAAATAAGCTACATGGTCGAGTTGCCAGAAAGAAACCTTTACTGCACCAATGCCACAAAAAAGCCCAGTTACAATATACTTGACAACACCTTGACTTGCTTCACAGCTTCTGGTACACTGTAATCTGTAGTGCAGAGTCCAAAATAGAGCTTTATGGTCACAACTATAAGGGCTAAGTTTGGAAAGGGGTCAAGAAGGCTTATAGCAGCAAGAATACCATTCCCAATGTGAAACATGGTGGTGGCACACTGATATTTGTTTGAAATGTGTAAGCTGTAAAGGCATGGGGATCTTGTGAAAATGAATGGCAAAATGAAAGAGGCATGTTATCAGAAAACACTGGCAGAAAATTGCATTCTTCTGCACAAAAATCTGAGCATGGGGTGTTCTTGGACTTTCCAGCATGATAATGACTCTAAGCACAAGGCCAAGTTGACCCTCCAGTGGTTACAGCAAGAAAAGTTGAAGATTCTGGAGGGACATCACAGTCTTATGACCATGAATATCATCAAGCCACTCTGGAGAGATCTCAAACATGCAGTTCATACAAGAGAACCAAAGACTTGGAGGCATTTTGCCAAGATGAATGGGAAGTTATATCACCTGCATGAATTCGGGGCCTCATAGGCACCTATTACAAAAGACTGCATGCTGTCATTGATGCCATGTTTTATGATTGTGCAATTCTGTTATGACCTACAGGACTCCCATAAGAAATAAATGTGTTTTATCCTCTCACTCATATTTTCTTTAAAAATGGTACATACTGTATATTACCAATTCTCTAAAAGGTATGCAAACCTTTGAGCACAAATATATATATGTGCGTCCATACTTTTAAATAACTTTTGTAGTTATAATGCACAGGGCAAGTCAGAAATCCAGCCTGGTTTGTGCTGTGATGAGCCCTCTCCTCCCCTTACATACTGTTCATAAGATCGATGGCCGTTGTGTCCTCTATCACCTTGGCCACTGGTCTTGTACATTCCCTTCTGTAGTCCTCAGTAAGTGAGCAGTGATGCGATTACATCACTGCTCGCTGCAGTGGGTGGATTGAAGAGTATCAGACTCCCAGTCTGATTTGCCCACTGTGCAGCATAGATTGACAGGCCAGGAGTCTGAACCATCTCATTTACACCCACAGCCCCACCCATGTAGACTGTAGTTATTAGTAATGTGAGCAGTGATGTGAATGGGTAGCACTGTGGGTGGGACTGTGGGCATGAATGAGATGGATCAGACACCTTGTCTGTCAATTTATGTTGCACAGTGGGATGATCAGACCAGGAGTCTGAGATGTGAATACATTGCTGCAGTGGGCGGATCCCAGAGTCTCAGATTTCCAGTCTGATCCACTTACTGTGCAGCGAGGAGTCTGATCCATTCCATTCCCACAGTCCTACCCATTCAGACTCCAAATCTCAAGGCATGATGATATTTGTAGTCCTAAGAGGCAATAACAAGCAATAACAGGAAGTGATATCACCGCATCAAAATATACCTCCTGCAAGAGCCCAGTAATAAAGATTCTGTGAAAAGAGAGGACATCAGAGCTTTTTAAAGACGTGTTTTTCATACAAAGTGTGCAGTTTTATTCAAAATCACATTAGTCGGGTTGCTTATGTAATTACACAGGACTAATCTGCAGATTTTATCACCATCCCAAAAGTTCTTCTTTAAGGCAGTTTGTGATGTAGTTATAATCTGCAAATGTAAATAACAAGAGTCCAGAGGATGTCATGCACCTCCTTGGACTTAACTTATAGTGTGCCTTCACTTTTTACAAAGTGGCTGAATTCCTGCAGTTCAGCTAGAAAGAAAAAAAAAATACTCCAATAGTGTGATACAATTTTTTACTATTTTGTAAAAACTATATTAAAAGCCCAGAAACAAATATAAATGCTGTATCCCCAAATGAAGAAGCAGCATGTATTGTCAGTGCATGTAGCTCTATCCAGCGCATTTCGTCCAAGAGGACCTGATCAGGGGCTAACACTGCACAGGGAGTTTACATCTTTATCATCCAGTGGAGTTGGTGTGCCTACCATGTTTTTAGTGTTGCTATCATGTTTATTTTAATATCTTTTGAGTCAAGTAAAAATATACAATAATGTACATTATTTCAAATCTACCACTTAATGACGAAAAAAATGTTCAGATGCATTTTACATGTGTCACTATTTATAAGGGAGGTACGGCTTGTTGGAAATGCTACCAAAGATACAGCAAGCAGCATGATAAAACACAAACTTGTGAATGTAGCCTTACTGAGATGCTGTAAATAGATTAAAAATCAAAATATCAGATCTCACTAAAAAGCTGAATGAAACAAATGAGGTACACATCAGATCTGTCTCTGTAAGTAAATACTGTATGTGCCTATATAGATTTTCAGTTAACAAGAAATAGTTATCAAATAGGCAGACAGGGCTGGGCTTTCTTAATAGCAAGCCAAGCTAATTAAATGTCAGCAAATTTAGCTGTTGAGCCAGCTGCATCAGGGAAACAACGTGCTCTCATCTGTTGCAATCAGTGTACTAACAAAACATCTGACACACACACACACACACACATACACACACACTTGGTTGTGTGTCTTACACAATCTCTAACTTACTAGAAAACATTCTTTGAAGATTCTGGTGGTCTTTCAAACATAATCAGAAAAACGGTTTTCAGAATTATGATTGTTAAGGCTCTGTCTGATATCATTAGCCTATCTCTATGAGTTAATGTGACAAATTACTCAAAAATAATTTATCTACAGAACTAAATGCTATCTTAATTGCAGTACAGCCACATTTTTATTTATTTTTTTATTTGAAATAGAGCAAGGGAGAGTGAGTTTACGTGTTTGTCCAAGTGTGGATGTTTTCGGATCCCATCGGGGTTTTAGACATGGTGATACAGATCTCCTGTCCATTTTCTAAAACTTAATTATAGTTGAGAAAGGTTACAATGTATTTCTGGTTTTCATTGAGGGCTCTCTCCCTATTGGAGTGTATTTCCTTTAACTCCTGTCTCTGTGAATGTGATCAGTGTTGCATGAGAGCTTTCCATTTGGGAAATAAACAGCAGTAAAAGCTCTATTTTATTATAATGAGGAAATTTAGAAACTAAGGTTTTCTTTGTGTCAGTGTTCTTCGTCTCAGTTTTCAGTGTGTGTTCCTACTGGGAAAAGTCAATGTCTAACCCATCCTTACTGGATTGGTATGCGCATACATCCATTCCAGCTTTAGGAATACAGTCAGGGAGATTTTCTTGCTTGCCTTACACTGTGTGCACAATTATTAGGCAAGTGAGTATTTTGAACAAATCATTATTTTTATGCATATTTTCCACCTCCAAACTGTATAAACTTGATGGCTCATTGGATATAAGCATATCAGGTGATGCGTATTTGTGTAATGAGGGAGGATGCAGCACTCTTGAAATTTCAAAGATATTGGGGCGTGATCACAGAACCATCAAACGTTTTGCTGCAAAATGGTCAACAGGGTCACAAGAAACATGTTTAGAAAAAAAGGCGCAAATTAACTGCCAACGATATGAGAAGAATCAAACATGAAGCTACCAGGAACCCATTATCCTCCAATGCTGTCATATTCCAGAACTGCAACATTCCTGGAGTGCCCAGAAGTACAAGGTGTTCAGTGCTCAGAGACACGGCCAAGGTAAAGAAGGCTGAAACCCGACCACCACTGAACAAGACACATAAGTTGAAACATCAAGACTGGGCCAAGAAATATCTAAAGACAGATTTTTCAAAGGTTTTATGGCCTGATGAGATGAGAGTGACTTTTGACCAGATGGATGGGCCCATGGCTGGAGCAGTGATGGGCACAGAGCTCCACTTCAACACAGATGCCAACAAGGTGGAGGTGGGGTACTGGTATGGACTGGTATTATGAAAGATGAGCTAGTTGGACCTTTTCAAGTTGAAGATGGACTCAAAATCAACTCCCAAACATACTGCCAGTTTTTAGAAGACAATTTCTTCAAGCAGTGGTACAGGAAAAAGTCTGCATCTTTCAAGAAGACTGTGATATTTATGCAGGACAATGCTCCATCGCATGCATCGAAGTACTCCACTGCATGGCTAGCCAGTAAAGGCCTTAAAGATGAAAGAATAATGACATGCCCCCTTCCTCACCAGACTTAAACCCTATTGAAAACTTGTGGGCCCTTCTTAAACTGAAGACTTACGGTGAAAGAAAAAAGTACACCGCTCTGAACAGTGTCAGGGAGGCTATGGTTGCTGCCGCACAAAAAGTTGATAGTCAACAGATTAAGAAGCTAAGACTCAACGAATGGAAGGGCTATGAATGTTATTGATAAGAAGGGTGGCTATATTGGTCACTGATTTTTTTTAAATATGTTTAGTTGTAACTTTTGAGTTGCTTGTGTAATATTCTCACTTTAACAGATGAAAATAAACAAGTGATATGGGAACCTTTTTGTTTTTTTATTTAGTTGCATAATAATTGTGCACACCAATAGTTGCCCAATAATTGTGCACACATAGAAATTCTCCTAGAAAGCCAAAACTTCACTTTTAAATACTTAAATATTCAGGCTTGAGGTTAACATCTTGGATTGACCGAGAGCACTGTAGTTGTTCAATGATGAGATTAATCCTCAAAAATACAACTTGCCTAATAACTGTGCGCAGAGTGTAGTGAAACTACACCAGATCAAAGTTCCTGCCCTTCTAATAAGTATGGGATAACAGTTTGTGATATAGTTCAAACGCTGATAATGTGGAAAAAAAAACCTGTCATGGTAATATTCATCTGAAAAAGACATAGGGGAAATACAACATTGGAAAAAAAAAGCAATAGAACAATTTCGGTACTCACCTCCTGCCTTGACAGTGTCATAGGCAACTTCTCTTCTGCCAGCTCTAGCTCCAATACAGGATTGCTTGATGAGGAAGGCTGCTCTTCCTCTTCTTGGTTTTGTAGCTAGTTGTTCAAAAAAGGAATATATAAGTATGCAATAGAAATTTAGTGTTGTAAATTAAGTACAAATTCCACAAAATGTTTGCTCTAATATGCATATGATGTATGGCTAATCAAGTATAACCCTCCTCCCAAGAACTGGTGCTTCGTGTATACTGTATATTTTACTTGAAAAAGACTTATAAAATAATATAGATTCACCAGCTGCATCACTTCACCCTTTGCTGACTGTTCCCATCATTCTCCTTTCCCTTTTTCCATATGCATATGATTTGCAGGTTATGTAAGCAGGGCTGGAATTAGACAGTCAAATATCCTTGCTTCTACACACCATCTAACAGTGTATAAGGGTCTTACAAGTAATATTATGGCACCCAGTAAAGATGGTAAGAAACCAACTAGGCAGAAGATAGATACTACAACTAGTAAAGCGGTCCGTTGCACTGCAATTACTTATATTCACAAAAGAACACTACTTTTTTCACTTATTTTCTTTTTTAAAAGATATGACAAACTGCACAAAATTCAAAAATAAAATACAATTGCCTGATTAAATCTGGTTTAAAAACCACTTGCCCTCCAGAGAATTTACCCCCCTTCCTGACCAGGCTGTTTTTTGCGATACGGCACTGCGCTATTTTAACTGACAATCAGACGGTCATGCAACACTGTACATATAAATTAAATGTATGTAATTTTTTTTCCCACAAATAGAGCTTTCTTTCAGTGGTATTTGATCACCTCTGCATTTTTATATTTTTAAGCTATAAAAAAAAAAAACCCTACAACTTTGAAAAAAAAAAAAATTTTTTGAATTTTTGCTATAAAACATATCCAATAAAAAAATTTTGAAATAAAATTTCTTCATAAATTTAGGCCAAAATGTATTCTGCTAAATGTCTTCACTAAATAAAATCCCAATAGGTGTATAGTAATTGGTTTACGTGAAAGTTATAGTGTTTACAAATGGCAGCATATATCCTGGAATTTTATTTATACTAGTAATCGCAGTGATCAGCGACTTATAGCGGGACTGCAGTGGGCATTCTGACACTGGGTGGGAACTGACTGTCACTGACATCCCCAGTGACACTAATACAGTGATCAGTGCTAAGAAAAAGCACTGACACTGTACTAATGACACTGGGCATAAAGGGGTTAACATCTAAGGCGATCAAAGAGTTAAAAGTGTGCTGTATGTTTTACATTGTGTACTGCTTTCACTTTGGAGACATGCTGTTTTGTATCTTTCTGTTGTGCAGAAAGTGCTTCCTGATGTTTACACACAGGTCTCTCCCATCAGCTTTGCTGACGATCACCCGAGTTCTGGCCAGGAATCGCCAGCTGCGACCCGGTGACTGACATCCCTACTAGGCGTGGGTAGGGCGGTGCGCAAGCCCCCTACCTGGAAATGCAAATCACATATTTTACACACACACACACACACACACACACACACGATTTTGCACAGCCATGCCACCCTGTAGCAGTATCTCTGCTATAGGGTGGCAAGCAATGACAGAACACTAAAAAACAGTGTGCCTTGTATTATCCTATTTAAATTTTCTGCAAGAAAATATTCATAACAAAAATGTTACATATGCTGTCGAATAAGGAAATTTTCACTTTTTTTTGTTTTGTTTTTTTTTACATACTTTTTAAGTTAACTTTATAGCTTACAATGAAAAAGTATACATACACTCACCAGACACTTTATTAGGTACACCTTTCAAGTGCCAAGAAAATATCTGCCACCACACCATTACACCACTACCAGCCTGAACCGTTGATACAAGGCAGGATGGATCCATGCTTTCATGTTGTTTTTACACCAAATTTTGACCCTACCATCTGGATGTCGCAGCAACCTATCTGACCATTCTCCTCCGACATCCAGGCATTTTCGTCCACACAACTGCCGCTCACTGGATATTTTTTCTTTAAACCCTGGAGACGGTTGTGCGTGAAAATCCCAGTAGATCAGCAGTTTTTTTTAAATAGTCAGACCAGCCGTCTGGCACCAACAGCCATGCCACGTTCAAAGTCACTTAAATCTACTTTCTCCCACATTCTGATGCTCAGTTTGAACCTCAGCAAGTCGTCTTTACCACATCTAAATGCCTAAATGCACTGAATTGCTGCCATGCGGTTGGCTGATTAGCAATTTCTGTTACCTTGCAATTGAACAGGTGTACCTAATAAAAGTAGCCGGTGAGTGTAATTTAAACTGATGCAAATATACTGTATATATTTACCAATTAAGTTTCGTAAGTCAATCCATCATTTATGTACCTGTCCCACAACAGGTGGGAGGTTTGTTACATATGTTCTTATGTTTTAAATAAACTGGCTTTACAAAAAAGAATTTGTTGCGACCCCCAACAAAGTAAACTGGCATTGCCTGCATTACAATCAATTATCATATAGCATGTCCAAGAACACCAAAGCTAGAAAGTCAACACTTTATTCAGTTCTTTCCCTCTACTGCTTCACTAGCAAGAGTGATATAAGGGCAAGTCAATGTGTCAGATTATTAGCTGAGATATGCATTTATAAAACAGAATTCTGCATTCTTTACTACTTCTGGGGCGCTCTAGAAGATAACTGAACTCAACATGCATTACCATTCTTCTGCAAGTTAAACATTAATTCAAATACACTTTAACCTGCATTTATTTCATTAACACAAGTAAAATAATAATGAAATTGCACATTTAGTTCACTATTTTAGAAAAGCAGTGAGTGTGACTGATATAAATGTAAATTTGGTTGTATAGACCCTTCTTTTCCATTAAATAATACTAATCAGCCTTTATCAAACTGGCATATCCATTACTAGCTGCTCTTCATCAAATTTAAAGTAAAAAATGACAACTGAAAGAGTAAAGTCTGAATCCGACAGGCTCATAAGGAAACAGAGATCGCACTTTTTCCAGATCCTTTGATAAAGTAGGTTATTTCTTCTAAAGATGAGTACAAATTAAGCTGGACATAAGCCTGTATGATTCGGCACGGCATAACTGATATGAATGGTACTTAGTATAAAAATGTCTACAGTTCATGGCCTAAAGAACTAAAGGAAAAGCTGTATGCCTTGCCCTTTGCTACCATGCTACAACTTTCATGGTTCATCCCTGGAGACAGAACAGAGAAGAGATCCTAACTTCACAGAAAAACCATTATGGAAGGATTGCAAATTTAAAAGCATGCAATCATTTACTGTAAACATCACAGTGCATCAATGAGAACATTGCATTCAGTGCTATGATTAGAGCACCCCAAAGAACAGATGGCTTGTTACCCATATCATAGATTACTACAATAATGATTCTGGTGCAAGAAAAGGGAAAAGAAGATTGCTTGCAAAGGCCATCACAGACAGTTCTATCAGACATGTTCAATCATAAGGCCCACTGTGTTTGAATATCAGTTCAGAATCTGATCAAAGAAAGTATTCTTCTATTTATGAGCCAATAAAAAGTCTAGATTAATGCTGCTTTAAAGCTTGTATATTCAAACAGCAGTTATTAGGTTTACTTTGTTTTGGCTAAAAATAAAATGCACTTCACTTGAAGGCACTGGATCTTAATCCGTAAAATAAGTACAATAGAAGAGAACCGTGACACTAACAAGTGATCTAAAGTAACAGTATGTAAGATGTTTGGAGTGGAGTTTGCAATCATTTGGGGACATGCACAGGGTTTGTGAACGGTGGATCCTGGACAGGTGTAATGGGACATACTGTACACTGACCCTATTGTGGACCACATCATGCTATGATGTGTTAAATCACATTTTATTCATATACTACAAAAAAATACATAGTAAGTGTGTAAACATACAGTAAAAGTGGTACTATACTAATTTCCACTAAATGCATCATCATGTATTTTGCTGAATTTTCCACTTCAAGTAAAATGCCCAAACATTAAGAACTGGTCATTTTCAAAAGCGTGTTCATACCAATGCATTACATTTAAGTGTGTAGGAAAAAAAATAAACCCAGCATGCTACATTTCAGCTGGTTTTACCAGGTGTTTGCCACTCAAGTGCATTCAGAGCATTTAAAAAATGCATGCCAAAAGCACTGCCATACACATCAAGGCAATACACTTTAATGTATGCATTCTAGTGTGAAAGGCCCCTTTTAGAAACCTGTAATGAAGCAAGATGCTTCAGGAAGAAGCCTCAAAATAGAAGATGTAAAGCTCTGACTCCCAAGTAAGATACTGGGTTGTGGGACAGCAACATCCCACTCAGTAAAGATGAACAGATCCATTTTCACTATCTCCATAATAGTATATTTATGACGAGTCACAGAAGGGCAACTTTTATCTATGTTTTCCCACACACCAGTTTGTTTAAATTAATTTTCCTCTAAGAGGGCTTGGCTTATAAGAAAAGTAAAAATGCTGATTACGAACACTCTGCACATTAACAGAGAAATACCCTCTATTCTCATTCATTCTCCTCTATTCTCATATATAAACATCAGGGCTTGCTTACCAACACCAACCATGTTAAATTTGCTTTCCATGGTCAATGTTTGGATTATTCCTCAACAGCAACTGGTCTTAAAGTGAATGCAAAGGCTTCAGGTTTTTTTTCACCTTAATGCATTCTCTGCATTATGGTAAAAAACCTTTTATGTGCAGCTCCCCTCCTTAAATAGTTCTTGATCCAGCACTGCTCTCGCTCTCCCTCCGCACTAGGCTCATAAAAGCAGTGGGAACCGTTGGCTCCTGCTGCTGTCAATCAAATCCAGTGACGAATGTGCAGAGCTAGGGCCAAACTGTACCATGTGTGTCAATAGCCACATGTGTAACAGATGAAACAGCTTACTAAGGTGTCACAGTGAGAAGAGGAGGAGCCCAGAGCACCAGCAGGGAATCAGTGCAAAATCAGTGCACAGAGCAGGCAATTACAATGTGTTTATTATTTAAAAAAAAAAAAAAAACCTTTACAATCATGTTAATCAATGGACTTAAGCTTTCCCTGATGTATCCATGAACACCCTCCTTACCTCCCTATGACTGACTATCTTGGAGAATGATCAAAGCCACAATGTATTGTGAAATGTTGTTTTTCTCACTCTTACATATCCCTGCATCAAACTTATCTCATGGGCTTAAGCCCCCTGTTCTTGCGGTCCAAAATGCAGACAATTATACGCAGACTATGTCCTAGCATGCATTCTGGGCCTGTTCCAAGATTAATTAATTTTGGGCTGCAAAAGTACAATTCATACCTGGATTATTCTAACTCCAGAATTAGTACTTTTGTGGCATAACAGATATCCCCAGCACCAGGGTTGCTAAAGGCTGCAAACAACACTTTGATATTATTTCTCTTAGACAAAAAGACAATTCTGCATAAGTGGGTTTGTTCTGCTGATCCTGCATCTATTTTCTTGTTTACAGACGATAACTTTATTCCAACCGGAGTATGTGGAGGCCCCTCTAAATACTGAAAACCAGCTTTAAATATATCTTTGACATTTAGGATTCACCTATCCAAACCCTATCTACTGATGCCTAACAATCAAACACAATGTATCTAACGTTGCTAATCAGAAATCATCCCACAAATAAAGTGTGTGTGTGTTTTTTAGTAGAAGACCAACCACCACTCAATAACTACTAAATTTCCTATTTGTTTAGTAGATCCCATATTCTTAAGTGGACATTAAAATAATATTGTCTTCTACATTATACAATTAAAACAGTGCCGTGTCCGTTCATTGTAAACTACAAGGCAACAGCCGCTAAGGCTGCCGGGACTTGTAGACACTCATTCTCAGAACTCTGTAAATAAGTGATGCAGCCGCGTGGTCCAAAAAATTTCCTCGTACTATCTGTCAGAGGGAGGAGGGGCGGCAGCTGCAGCTATAGGAACATGCCACATGTTCCAAAGGTGAACTTACCCTTTAAAGCATAAATGGAAAAAATCCAACAAAAAATTTCCCAAAAGAGAATCACTGTGTTTGAAGCATGTCACCCCAAGTAAAGGAAGAAATTTCCATGATGTTATTACAGAGAACGGTCCCCTTTCTTTCCTGGAACCCCCCTTTAACTGGATAAGGAGATAATTATAATGTGAAAACTGGTAACATTTTAATTACAAACATTTTAAATTTATTGCTAACCTTCTGTGACCTAGCTGTAAACATCCCCACATTTATCAATTTAAACCCTACTGATCTCACATGTCATTATTGGTCTCACATATAAGAAAAAGTTTATGTAAAATGTGGATTTCCTTAAGGGTGTTTAGAAAACACTATAAAAAGGTGACTGGAGATATACTGCACAAAAAATACATCTTCAATTACATCTAAAGCAATCAGAAATTTTTTTAAAAATCCAGATTAGAGTGTGCTTACTATTGATGCATTACAATCATATAAAAAGATCCAGTGTCCAAGTAAATGAATGCCAGACATATCAAGCCATTACATGCTCAGCATCTCAAGCCAAATGACAGCACACTAGTGACAGCAGCTGACATTTCCAAAATGGTCTCCATCAAAATGCCATTTGGAAAATGTGCCTGGAGGCAAAACATGCATTCCTATTTTATTAGCATTCCTACCTTTTGTGTTGGCTTCTCACTTATAGGCTAACATTTGTGACAGATTAAACAAAGAGAGAGGGTTAGATAAACATTATAGGAAAACCTTGTAAAAATGGGAGCTTTTTGTAGAAAGAAATCCAGTACCTTATATCCACATCTTTCTAAGTATGCTTCCTTTTCTTTTTCAGCAAGTTCACTACGCTTAAAGAACTTCTTATTTTCCTGAAATATTAAAAATAATTGAATTTGAAAAATGAATCTACATGTTAAAACATTTGTAATAGTCAACAAAGGGGAAGCAATTGATTATACCAAGCCACAGACACCAACAGCAGCGTCCTAAGGTCATCTGATATAATTTTTTGTCTGATACATTACCTGACATCTGCAAGGTTCTGACTGTTCTGTGATTGCAAAGAGCAAAGTTTAAAAAAAAAAACAACCCACAAGCATCCTGCTATGAACTTTAGGAGACAACATAAGTTATAATTAGTAAACTGTACAATTTACTTTGGGGCTTGTACACAGATGTCAAGAATGCTGCTTTCAAAGGCACCCCGTGTTTTTATTTATGGTGCTTTTACAGGCAACGTATCTACGCATATTGTGGTATTTAGATCTGTAATTTTAGAGCAGTAGGAGAAGCATATCTGAGTCATTTACATGCATATACAAATGTACATGTAAATTCATTCTAGTGTCTAGAATAAATTATTCCAGCCATTAAAAATGAATTTCCACATGTACGCCTCTAAACATTACTGTATATGCACATAAACACAAGTATATCATTCACCATTACAAGTATATATACACTGAAGTGTGTACGGGCCTTAGATTTACTAACAGCAATGTGGTGTTAAGCTCTGTGAGTATAAATATGATTGGGAATGATTTACTAAAAACTGGACAGTGCAAAATCTGATGCAGTTCTGCATTGAAACCAATCAGCTTAAAGGTTTTATTGTTAAAGCTTAATTGAACAGGTTGAAGGCTAGGTTTACATCTGTGCAGGTGCTGCCGCTGCAGACCCGCACAAAAATCCATGCAGCCGCACCACCCGCACAGAGAAATATGGACCCACGGGAGGGTATTATTAGTTCTAATGGCACGCCACCCGCACTGGAAAACACAACTGTACTGGGAACCAAGGTTCCTGTGTGGACTGCGTTTTCGAAAGAAGTGCAGGGACTTCTTCCCTGCGTGCCACGGGCACGGGAGTCCATTCAAATGAATGGGCTCTCGTGCCCATACAAAACGCGGCCTGAACGGCCACTTATATGTGAACCGGGGGGAAGAGAGAAGTTGATTGGCTACAATGCACAGCTACGTCAGATTCTGAGTGCTTCAGTTTTAGTAAGGCCTCATGCACACTAAACATGGAAAAACGTGTTTTTTCATTAATATTCTGGGAAATTAAATCAATGAACACCTAAGCATTTGAAAAAAAAAGAACAAAAAAAAACATAGCTTAGAAGCGTTTTTGCAGCTGCTTTTCTCCTGCTAGAAGAAATGTCTTTAGAAAAGCCCCAGTGTGCATGAAGCCTAAATCTCCCCCAATGTATTGTTCAAGTAGCCCTAACACTAAGGGTTTATTCTCACGGGCGCAAAGTCCTGTACAGCGTGAAACATTCTTACGTTTAGGCATCTAGAGCTGTGTGTAGGCAGCCTATGTTAGCCAATGGAGGCACAGGAGCTGTACAGACGTCCAAGTTTCACAGATTCGCAGGGACAGGTGCACAACCACAAAATCAGACAAGGGGGAAGATTTACTAAAACTGGTGCACACAGAATATGGTGCAGTTGTGCATAGTGACCAATCAACGTCTAACTTCAGCTTGTTCAATTAAGCTTTGACAAAGAAACCTGGAAGTTGATTGGTTTCTATGCACAGCTGCACCAGATTCTGTGTGCACCAATTTTAGTAAATCTCCCCTTTGTGTGTCCCTGCGTACCTATCAAACTTGGACGCCCATACTGCTGCTGCACCTCCACTGATCAACATAGGCTGCCTTCCGTCAGCTCCACACTGCTCCCCAACACATAAACAGCTTTTGCAGGCTGTATGGGCCTGTGCACCCATGTGTACAATCCTTAAAAAGCTGTTGTGAAATCTAAAGAAAACTGTATTGAGAACATACAATTATATTATAAAGCTGTTGCTTTAGGTTACAATCCAGTTAATTGTCTCTGGATTTACCAAAACCATCCAATTGTAAAAGTAAAGCGATACATTCCATTTGATTTGTATCCAGACAGGCCCTGGTACTTACTGACAGAAGGAGATTGTACAATTACACTGTAACTTGTATTGTTAGTTTTATGTGTGTGAACAGTTTTGAAATGAACAAATGAAAAACAAAATGAACTTTCCTGAAAAGGTAATCTTTTAGCCCCATCAGGCTTTGGTTGTAATGAAAGTTTCACTTACCCAATTATATTTAAAGTGGAGCTCCAGGCAAATAACTAAACGTTTGGTACAGACAAAATTACTCTCCACAGCTTGCATTTTGCCTTTCTTGCTCCTATCATTTTTCCAGACAAACAGCTTTCAGATTAAACATTATCTGCCTATCGGAATATTCTAACCTGATTTTTTCACTGCAGTCAAGCTATGGTTTGTATCCCCATAGGAAAAATAAATGTACTGTTATAGTTACAAAATGTATTACTTTGAGTAAGGGCAATAGTAAACACAAAAACACATTCATAAAAACCTGGCTTATGCTGGCCATACACGTATAGATTTTTGCTCGACAATGTTTGTTTAAGAACATTCGTGTGATTTTTCAATCATTAGTGGAGTCAAATCGATGTTCATTTTCGATCACAGTGTGACGAGTAAAAAAGGAAGGAGCTGAATAAAAAATATTTCTATATTTAACACATTTTTGGATAGTGTATATGGCTTTCGTTCAGAAATTATATTCCTTTTAAAATTGAATGTGAAAAGCAAGAAAAATTTTCAGAAGACATTTGTACTTTCATTGAATATTCTCATACAAAAATCTATATGTGTATGGCTAGCATTAGACTCTATACTCCACTGACAAAGGCAAAAGTGTATCTAAACCCAAAAACAAAAAAATGTATATATTGCAGGTTACCAGCCCTTCAATATGGCAGCTGCATTAGTTTTCCTTTGTCAGACTTTTTTTTCACCTTGTGATCCAACCAGAAACACACTTTCTATCCTAGGGTAACAACCCTCATACTTTGGAGGGGTAACATTGTCATCCTAAACTACTCAAGCATAATTTGGACCACAGAACACCTCCTCCTGTGTTTAACTATAGTATGGTCTTGTAGTCCACAGTGCTAACTTAGGGAGGGCTCATAAGATTCCTTAAAATGGAAATTTACCCATAACCTGATAAAAAATAAATATTTTTAGCAAGTAACATACATTCCACATGAATAATTATGCTACCAAAATGTGTGTGTGCTGTAAATTGCCTCCAGCATTGTTCTTTTTTCATTCTTGCTGGAGGCTGCCATTTTGCTGAAGTCCAGAGACCTCATCAGCAGTAAATCATAAATTGGAACTAAACCCATCAATTTAAAGGTTTAAAAACAGTTACATTCCTGGAATTCAGGGTTTCTAACTGAAACATTTGCTTGTGTCCTCAACCAAACTGTCAAAACTATCAAATGGCTGAAGTGATAACTGATCACATGTGCAGTTGTAGATCAGACAGAAGCAGCTTCCTTGGCTGTAAAGGGAAGGAGGGTTCACTTCCGCTTTAAGGCTGTCAGCAGATCAACCTCTACAAATTCGGCACAGTGCGTAAATATAGAGCGCAACACAGCATGTGCAAAGTAGGGTGAGACCGTGTATTACTGGACTTTAAACAGTATAAGCACTTATTTTGTAATGTTTTACATAGCTATACCTGCAAAAGGGGCCAACATCAAGTGATCTAGCAGGACTTCATTTTCTCACTTTAAGATTTCAATGCAGAGGAAAAAATGGGTTGCCAGCTCACTACAGGAATTTTTCATCAGGTCTCTGTATTTCTGCCAGGGTCAACTGGTATTTTTTGCATTTGTCTAAATTATATAACAACATGCTTTTAATATTTTGTTTACCAGAGCAAATATGAAAAATCCATTGTGAGAGTTTTTATACATACACCTGATGATCACTAGCACCCCTCCTCTGGTCTTCTACATGATTAGGAAGATTTTTTTTTCCTCTTTATTGATTTTTTTTTTTTATAATTAAGAAATTGTCTAGCCCGGCCACCCCTTGCTTCGGTGAATGACATACACTGTGCTCATTTTGCCTCTTGGGATATGCACATCACATATCCCAGGAGGCATAGCCTCTCATTCAGTAAACATGGAGAGGGTGGGCCTATCTGTGCATCATAAGGAAGTGCGTCGTCTGAACCCGGAACAGCCAGCAGTCCATCGATGATGTCTCAGCAAGACATGGCGGCGCAGGACCTGAGCGCTGCCAGTGAAGATGACTATCGGAAATGTGCTGAACACACCATCAGCTAAGCAGGGGTTTACGGAAAATTAATGGGGGGGTGGGGGGGGTGAAAATCCACTTTGAATGAAGTTCAAATCATTCCGTATGTAAGTATACAAGTCTAGATGCAGACCCTTCCAATCAAATTCCAGGAACGTGTAACAATGGGAAGATGCAGCTCACATTACACTATAATGGTGTATCAGAGGTGCAGGCAGGACACGCGATATACTAGAATGGTGTATTAGAGGTGCAGGCAGGATCTACAATATACTAGAATGGTGTATTAGAGGTGCAGGCAGGATCTACAATATACTAGAATGGTGTATCAGAGGTGCAGGCAGGATACACAATATACTAGAATGGTGTATCAGAGGTGCAGGCAGGATACACAATATACTAGAATGGTGTATCAGAGGTGCAGGCAGGATCTACAATATACTAGAATGGTGTATCAGAGGTGCAGGCAGGATACACAATATACTAGAATGGTGTATCAGAGGTGCAGGCAGGATACACAATATACTAGAATGGTGTATCAGAGGTGCAGGCAGGACACACAATATACTAGAATGGTGTATCGGAGGGGCAGGCAGGACACACAATATACTAGAATGGTGTATCGGAGGTGCAGGCAGGACACACAATATACTAGAATGGTGTATCGGAGGTGCAGGCAGGATACCGGATATACTAGAATGGTGTATCGGAGGTGCAGGCAGGACTCACAATATACTAGAATGGTGTATCGGAGGTGCAGGCAGGACTCACAATATACTAGAATGGTGTATCGGAGGTGCAGGCAGGATACCGGATATACTAGAATGGTGTATCGGAGGTGCAGGCAGGACTCACAATATACTAGAATGGTGTATCGGAGGTGCAGGCAGGATACCGGATATACTAGAATGGTGTATCGGAGGTGCAGGCAGGACATACAATATACTAGAATGGTGTATTGGAGGTGCAGGCAGGACACACAATATACTAGAATGGTGTATCGGAGGTGCAGGCAGGACACACAATATACTAGAATGGTGTATTGGAGGTGCAGGCAGGACTCACAATATACTAGAATGGTGTATCGGAGGTGCAGGCAGGATACCGGATATACTAGAATGGTGTATCGGAGGTGCAGCAGGATACACAATATACTAGAATGGTGTATCGGAGGTGCAGGCAGGATACCGGATATACTAGAATGGTGTATCGGAGGTGCAGGCAGGACACACAATATACTAGAATGGTGTATTGGAGGTGCAGGCAGGACTCACAATATACTAGAATGGTGTATCGGAGGTGCAGGCAGGACTCACAATATACTAGAATGGTGTATCGGAGGTGCAGGCAGGATACCGGATATACTAGAATGGTGTATCAGAGGTGCAGGCAGGACACACAATATACTAGAATGGTGTATCGGAGGTGCAGGCAGGATACACAATATACTAGAATGGTGTATCGGAGGTGCAGGCAGGATACCGGATATACTAGAATGGTGTATCGGAGGTGCAGGCAGGATACCGGATATACTAGAATGGTGTATCGGAGGTGCAGGCAGGACACACAATATACTAGAATGGTGTATTGGAGGTGCAGGCAGGACACACAATATACTAGAATGGTGTATTGGAGGTGCAGGCAGGACACACAATATACTAGAATGGTGTATCGGAGGTGCAGGCAGGATACCGGATATACTAGAATGGTGTATCGGAGGTGCAGGCAGGATACCGGATATACTAGAATGGTGTATCGGAGGTGCAGGCAGGATACCGGATATACTAGAATGGTGTATTAGTGGTGCAGGCAGGATACCGGATATACTAGAATGGTGTATCGGAGGTGCAGGCAGGATACCGGATATACTAGAATGGTGTATCGGAGGTGCAGGCAGGACATACAATATACTAGAATGGTGTATTGGAGGTGCAGGCAGGACACACAATATACTAGAATGGTGTATTGGAGGTGCAGGCAGGATACACAATATACTAGAATGGTGTATCGGAGGTGCAGGCAGGACACACAATATACTAGAATGGTGTATCAGAGGTGCAGGCAGGACACACAATATACTAGAATGGTGTATCGGAGGTGCAGGCAGGACACACAATATACTAGAATGGTGTATTGGAGGTGCAGGCAGGACACACAATATACTAGAATGGTGTATCGGAGGTGCAGGCAGGATACACAATATACTAGAATGGTGTATCAGAGGTGCAGGCAGGACACACAATATACTAGAATGGTGTATTGGAGGTGCAGGCAGGACACACAATATACTAGAATGGTGTATTAGTGGTGCAGGCAGGACACACAATATACTAGAATGGTGTATTAGTGGTGCAGGCAGGACTCACAATATACTAGAATGGTGTATCGGAGGTGCAGGCAGGATACCGGATATACTAGAATGGTGTATCGGAGGTGCAGGCAGGACTCACAATATACTAGAATGGTGTATCGGAGGTGCAGGCAGGATACCGGATATACTAGAATGGTGTGTATCAGAGGTGCAGGCAGGACACACAATATACTAGAATGGTGTATCGGAGGTGCAGGCAGGATACACAATATACTAGAATGGTGTATCGGAGGTGCAGGCAGGATACCGGATATACTAGAATGGTGTATCGGAGGTGCAGGCAGGACACACAATATACTAGAATGGTGTATTGGAGGTGCAGGCAGGACACACAATATACTAGAATGGTGTATTGGAGGTGCAGGCAGGACACACAATATACTAGAATGGTGTATCGGAGGTGCAGGCAGGATACCGGATATACTAGAATGGTGTATCGGAGGTGCAGGCAGGATACCGGATATACTAGAATGGTGTATCGGAGGTGCAGGCAGGATACCGGATATACTAGAATGGTGTATTAGTGGTGCAGGCAGGATACCGGATATACTAGAATGGTGTATCGGAGGTGCAGGCAGGATACCGGATTATACTAGAATGGTGTATCGGAGGTGCAGGCAGGACATACAATATACTAGAATGGTGTATTGGAGGTGCAGGCAGGACACACAATATACTAGAATGGTGTATTGGAGGTGCAGGCAGGATACACAATATACTAGAATGGTGTATCGGAGGTGCAGGCAGGACACACAATATACTAGAATGGTGTATCAGAGGTGCAGGCAGGACACACAATATACTAGAATGGTGTATTGGAGGTGCAGGCAGGACACACAATATACTAGAATGGTGTATTGGAGGTGCAGGCAGGACACACAATATACTAGAATGGTGTATCGGAGGTGCAGGCAGGATACACAATATACTAGAATGGTGTATCAGAGGTGCAGGCAGGACACACAATATACTAGAATGGTGTATTGGAGGTGCAGGCAGGACACACAATATACTAGAATGGTGTATCGGAGGTGCAGGCAGGATACACAATATACTAGAATGGTGTATCAGAGGTGCAGGCAGGACACACAATATACTAGAATGTGTATTTGGAGGTGCAGGCAGGACACACAATATACTAGAATGGTGTATTAGTGGTGCAGGCAGGACACACAATATACTAGAATGGTGTATTAGTGGTGCAGGCAGGACACACAATATACTAGAATGGTGTATCAGAGGTGCAGGCAGGATACACAATATACTAGAATGGTGTATTAGTGGTGCAGGCAGGACATACAATATACTAGAATGGTGTATTAGTGGTGCAGGCAGGACACACAATATATAATGGTGTATTAGTGGTGCAGGCAGGACACACAATATACTAGAATGGTGTATTAGTGGTGCAGGCAGGACACACAATATACTAGAATGGTGTATCGGAGGTGCAGGCAGGACACACAATATACTAGAATGGTGTATCGGAGGTGCAGGCAGGACACACAATATACTAGAATGGTGTATTAGTGGTGCAGGCAGGACACACAATATATTCCTTGGAGGGTGACACAACTATGTACTCACCCCCAGCAGCTCCTTCTCCTCCAGCAGCTTCCTCTTCCTCGCTATCTCAGCTTTCAGAATGTCCATAACTATCAGAGAACTAGGTAAGTCCTGTGCTTGCTCTCCCTCATTCCGTTTTCTTCCTGTTTACACAGGAAAGGCATGTGCCGATTACCCATTAACCTCTGCGGGTCTACTTCCGGGTCTTGGGAAGGCCGTGGAACGCACGGATTTCCCGTTTCTTCAGTCCCTGTTCCCATGGTAACTCTGCAACGCCTTACATATTAGATTGCGCACAGATCTTGCTTGCTTAAAAAAAAAAGTCGTCTTCCTCTTCCAGGCATCCTGCGTGACGTGTTTTTCTGATTACTAGAAACCATGTTTTATTTCACATTATTAGAGACTGCAGACTGACGGGTTGAGCTCCAGCCAAGCAGATACATGTGCAGTGTGCATAGTTCCGCAGTGCATTAGATGACTGAGCAATACAATGTGCTGCATTGGGAATCCACCTCCGAGCTCCATACAAAGCAGCCCAGAGAAGTGGATGTAGTTGTAGTGTAGCAGCTGCACAGACACAATCATATGTCAAAATGTGCAGGAGTGGGAACATAGATGCAATCACTGATACTGTGCAACCCTGGACTCCGCGTTACTTATTCACCCCTGGACTCCGCGTTACTTATTCCTGACCCCTGGACTCCGCGTTACTTATTCCTGACCCCTGGACTCCGCGTTACTTATTCCTGACCCCTGGACTCCGCGTTACTTATTCCTGACCCCTGGACTCCGCGTTACTTATTCCTGACCCCTGGATTCCGCGTTACTTATTCCTGACCCCTGGACTCCGCGTTACTTATTGCTGACCCCTGGACTCCGCGTTACTTATTTCTGACCCCTGGACTCCGCGTTACTTATTCCTGACCCCTGGACTCCGCGTTACTTATTCCTGACCCCTTGACTCTGTGTGTTATTTAACCCTGACCCTTGAAGGCTGTGCTTTACTTAATCATGACCCCTGAACTCTATGCGTTATGTAACCCTGACCCCTGAACTCTGTGCCATGCAGAATCCTGATCCCTGAACTCTGTGCAATACAGAATCCTGACCCGTGAACTCTGTGTTACTTAATCCTGATCCTCAAACTATATCCATTACTTAAACCTGACCCCTGAACCCTGTGTTTTACTTAATCCTGACACCTGAACTCTGTGCTTTACTTAATCTTGACCCCTGAACTGTGTGTGTTTTTAACCCTGACCCCTGAACTCTGCATTACTTAATCCTGACCCTAGAACTCTGTGTTACTTATTCCTGACCCTTGAACTCTGCATTACTTAATCCTGACCCTAGAACTCTGTGTTACTTATTCCTGACCCTAGAACTCTGTGTTACTTATTCCTGACCCTTGAACTCTGTAAATTACTTAATCCTGACCCTTAACTCTGTATTAATTAATCCTTACCCCTGAACACAGTGTTACATATTTCTGACCCCTGAACTCTGTGTTATACATAATCCTGACTCCTGAATTCTGTGCTTTACTTAATCCTTACCCCTGAACTTTGAATTTTACAAAATCCTGATCCCTGAACTCTGTGCTTTACTTAATTCTAACCCCTGAACCATATTCATTACTTAATCCTTATCCCTGAATTACAGTCAGGTCCATAAATATTGGGACATCGACACAATTCTAACATTTTTGGCTCTATACACCACCACAATGGATTTGAAATGAAGCGAACAAGATGTGCTTTAACTGCAGACTGTCAGCTTTAATGTGAGGGTATTTTACATCCAAATCAGGTGAACGGTGTAGGAATTACAACAGTTTGCATATGTGCTTCCCACTTGTTAAGGGACCAAAAGTAATGGAACAATTGGCTTCTCAGCTGTTCCATGGCCAGGTGTGTGTTATTCCCTCATTATCCCAATTACAATGAGCAGATAAAAGGTCCATAGGTAATTTCAAGTGTGCTATTTGCATTTGGAATCTGTTGCTATCAACTCTCAAGATGAGATCCAAAGAGCTGTCACTATCAGTGAAGCAAGCCATCATTAGGCTGAAAAAACAAAACAAATCCATCAGAGAGATAGCAAAAACATTAGGCGTGGCCAAAACAACTGTTTGCAACATTCTTAAAAAGAAGGAACGCACCGGTGAGCTCAGCAACACCAAAAGACCCGGAAGACCACGGAATACAACTGTGGTGGATGACCGAAGAATTCTTTCCCTGGTGAAGAAAACACCCTTCACAACAGTTGGCCGGGTCAAGAACACTCTCCAGGAGGTAGGTGTATGTGTGTCAAAGTCAACAATCAAGAGAAGACTTCACCAGAGTGAATACAGAGGGTTCACCACAAGATGGAAACCATTGGTGAGCCTCAAAAACAGGACGCCGCTTCACAGTTCTGGAACAACATCCTATGGACAGATGAGACCAAGATCAACTTGTACCAGAGTGATGGGTAGAGAAGAGTATGGAGAAGGAAAGGAACTGCTCATGATCCTAAGCATACCACCTCATCAGTGAAGCATGGTGGTGGTAGTGTCATGGCGTGGGCATGTATGGCTGCCAATGGAACTGGTTCTCTTGTATTTATTGATGATGTGACTGCTGACAAAAGCAGCAGGATGAATTCTGAAATGTTTCGGGCAATATTATCTGCTCATATTCAGCCAAATGCTTCAGAACTCATTGGATGCCGCTTCACAGTGCAGATGGACAATGACCCGAAGCAGACTGCAAAAGCAACCAAAGAGTTTAAGGGAAAGAAGTGGAATGTTATGCAATGGCCAAGTCAATCACCTGACCTGAATCCGATTGAGCATGCATTTCACTTGCTGAAGACAAAACTGAAGGGAAAATGCCCCAAGAACAAGCAGGAACTAAAGACAGTTGCAGTAGAGGCCTGGCAGAGCATCACCAGGGATGAAACCCAGCGTCTGGTGATGTCTATGCGTTCCAGACTTCAGGCTGTAATTGACTGCAAAGGATTTGCAACCAAGAATTAAAAAGTGAAAGTTTGATTTATGATTATTATTCTGTCCCATTACTTTTGGTCCCTTAACAAGTGGGAGGCACATATGCAAACTGTTGTAATTCCTACACCGTTCACCTGATTTGGATGTAAATACCCTCAAATTAAAGCTGACAGTCTGCAGTTAAAGCACATCTTGTTTGTTTCATTTTAAATCCATTGTGGTGGTGTATAGAGCTAAAAATGTTAGAATTGTGTTGATGTCCCAATATTTATGGACCTGATTGTATGTGCTTTACTTAATCCTGACCCCTGAACTCTATGCTTTGCTTCATGGGTGCTCAACTTGTGGCCCTCCATTTGTTGAAGAACTACAAGTGTCGTGAGGCATTGCAATGCTGACAGTTACAAGCCTGACTCCCAAAGACAGAGGCATGATGGGACTTGTAGTTCCACAACAGCTGGAGAGCCACAGGTTGAGCATCCATGCTTTGCCTAATCCTGATGCCTGAACTCTGTGTGTTACTTAATTCTGACCCCTGCATTCTATGCTTTACACTTCTTGACCCATAGAAGTATAGGTTCTGGGGGTCATTTCACTAAAGGCTTTTGCATGCAATATGGTAAAATGACTATATTTCAGAAATATTGCATGAGATAATAAGAGTCAATTTATCAAAGTAAAATATTGAACGTGAGGTCAATACCACAAAAAATGGAATAACTCGTTAATATCAATTCGTTAAGGCTAAGTTCACACTAGCTTTGTTAGCAGGCGTTAGACAGTTGTTTGGGAAGCACTTTTAACACTTCTAAAATGCCTATGAAAATTCTACACATGGCAGCACACAGTGCTGTTCACACTAAAGAGTTAGCGTCGCAGCAAAATTGATGCCTTATGTCGAGTCAGGAGGAGTTGAAGCCTCCCATTCAAGTCTATGGTGATGCTCCTGAAACACCTGGCAGGCGTTTGTGAGGCATTTGCTGAGCATTAATACCATTAAACGTCATTATAGGCAATTGTGGTGCGTTTTTAACGCTTGGCAAATACCTATCAAACCCCTCAAAAACGTGCATAGGGTGTTTGGGGAGCGTTTGAGGAGCATTAAAAACACTTCCCAAATGCCTGTCTAATGCCTGGCAAACGCTATAAGGGCGTTTGGCAAGAGTTACAAATTAGTCAAGTGTGAACGAGCCCTAAAGAACAGACACATTCGATATTTATCACCTGGCAGTAAGCAGTCGGTATTTTAGCAATGTACAAAATAGAAATGAGGGGAACTCTGCACTGGCCTGGAATGGAAAAGCATACAATGTATCAGTGTAGAAATGTTTCATCCTGAGCTCAGGAATGAAAATACATTGTAACATTTGAGGGAGATCATTCTGTGAGTTAAATCACTCTAGAAAGTTTTCAGTTTCATAATATTTGTGTGTGCATTTATTTGCAGAATTATCTTCTTCAGGTGCAGTGTTAGCATTTAACAAAAAAAAATTTAGCAAAAAACCATCGTGACAGAAATATTTAACAATCTCCCTTAATAAATCTATGAAAATAGATGAATTCCACTTTTTCAGACTGTTGGAATATTGTATGAGTTTTGTCTTATGATGGACAGAATATACAAGTGAAAGCAAACACCTGAAAGACAGCATGTACTTTGTGTATTCAGAGTTGGGGGTGCCGGGCTGTCTGGGGTGGGTCCCTGGCTTGTTTGGGTGCTTGGCTGTTCAATAGCTTACTGTTAATGAGATCACTGTTGTTGGCTGTACTGTTTACCGTTTGCACAGGATAATGTGATCAAGCTCTTACCTACTCATTGTGGGATGTTTATCACAATGTGTAATATTTGTTTTATTGTTCATGTGGGGACTGCCCCTGTTTTGAAGTCTATAGAAATCTGTATTTCTGTTCAATAAAGAGTTCCAATTTTGCACCTAAGATAGTGACGCCTAGTCTTGGGTGCGATGGCCAACTATAATTCTCTGTTCCCGTGTCCCAGCAGTGAGGAAGCAGTTTTGTGATGAAATCACCTAATTGGGGGGATAGGCGTTCCGTCACAACTGCTAAAAATAACACTAAATTTAAGTGATAAATATAGCAGAACTTAAATATTTAATGCATTTGGTAAATAGCACTTTTTTTTGTGAATTGACTACTTATGAGACAAATATAATTATTTTAATAAAAAAAAAATGCATGCAGTATTTATCTCTTAGTGAATTGATCCCAAGGTTTAAAGTGTTACTAAACCCAGGACCCTGCACTCACTATATCTGGTCTCCCACAGTACACACAACATGGAAATGCAATTATTTTAGTAACTATAAATGGCAAAATACCTTTTCTTATCAGCAGTTAGAGCAGTCTCGTGACTTCTATCAGTGTTCAGCCATGCACTAGCTAAACCTTGTATGAGGAGTTTTCTTTCTTTTCTAGGAGGATGTAAAACCCCTGACCTCTGTCTGACCAGTGCTGATTGGCCCTATGCTGATCACATGCACTCTCCCAAGGAAAAAAAAACTCTCTAGCAATACACACCAAACTGAGCATGTGCAAAATGCTTACGGTTCAGTCTGCCTTATCAGGAGATAAGAGGTAGTCGCTTAAACAAGGGGAGTGACAGAGCAATCAGGATCAAATGGCCTTTTTAGACAGTGCAGAGGATTAACCCCTTAGGTTCCACAGTGAGTATAACAAGCATGCTTTACTGCATATACAGACTGATTTTACTGTTGTGGGTTTAGTAACACTTTAACTTTACCTCTTTAAGCCCTGCCCACTGTTACTGCAATTAGGCCACACCAACAAATCACCTTCTGGCCATTTTTTTTTGTTTAACAAATGGGGGCATGGCTTTGTGGGTGTGGCTACAAATGAAGGTGTGGTTTTTTTGGGCATGGTCAGTAGGATGTCCCTGGATTTAATTTTTAAAATCTGGTAACTTTAACCACCTTCCGCCCGCCATATAGTACAATGACGGGCGCAAGGTGGTTCTCTCGTTCTGATAGGATGTCATATGATGTCCTTCCATTCTCACTGCGCATGCGCGGCTCAGGGAGCGCACAGCCCGGCGATCACCGGTGCGCTGTGTCCCTCAGACACAGTGGATCATGGAAAGAGCCGAAGATGTCGGCTCAGTCATGCGATCAGCTGTGTCCAATCACAGCTGATCACATGTAAACACGGAAATGCAGGCATTTCTCTCCTCTCGAGCTATCATGCTGACAGCTCGAGTGGAGAGCGGTAATCGGCTTTCCGAGGAGGGGACATGTACACAGATCATCAGGGCACTGATGATCAGTGTGCCCTGATGATCAGTGTGGCCCCAGAAGTGCCACCTGCCAGTGTCCATCAGTGCCAGCAGTCAATGCTCATCAGTGCCACGTGCCAGTGCCCATCAGTGCCACATCAATGCCACATATCAGTGCATACCAGTGCACATCAATGCCACATATCAGTGCCCATCTGAGCTGCCTTTCAGTGTCACCCATCAGTGCCAGTCAGTGCCACCTATCATTGCCAATCAGTGCCACCTATCAGTGCTGCCAGTCAGTGCCACCTATCATTGTCAGTCAGTGTCGCCTATCAGTGCGCATCAGTGCCGCCTATCAGTGCCAGTCAGTGCCCATCCAACCTACCAGTGCCACCTATCAGTGTCCATCAGTGTAGCCTATCAGTGCCCATCACTGCAGCCTCATTAGCGCACATCAGTGAAGGAGAGAAAAATTACTTATTTACAAAATTGTATAACAAAAACTAAGAAAAAACTTTTTTTTTTTTTCAAAATTTTCAGTGGTTTTTGGTTTGTTTAAGAAAAAATAAAAATCCCAGAGGTGATTAAATACCACCAAAAGAAAGCTCTATTTTTATAAAAAAAAATGCTAAAAATTTCATATGGGTACACTGTTGCATGACCGTGCAATTGCCATTCAAAGTGTGACAGCACTGAAAGCTGGAAATTGGCCTGGGCAGGAAGGGGGTTTAAGTGCCCTGTAGGCTAGTGGTTACAGTTACTAAACCCAGGACCATGCATTCACTATATCTGGTCTCCCACAGTCAGGGGCGGACTGACAACTCATGGGGCCCCGGGCAATAGGGGATCATGGGGCCCCTGTGTCCTTGCCCAAACTCAAAAAAGCCTATGAAAAAGGTACCAGGGGCATCTCATGGGGCCCCCTAATGATCCTGGGCCCTGGGGCAGTGCCCGAGTTTCCAATTGGTCAGTTCGCCCCTGCCCACAGTACATAGAACAGTGCAATGCAATTATTTAATAAATATAAATAGCTAAATACCTTTTCTCATCAGCAGTTAGAGCAATCTTATGACTTCAGTAGAGCACTGGTTAAAGCTTGTGGGAGTTTTCATTCTGCTCTAGGAGAATGTGAAACCTCTGACCCTCTGTCTGGACAGTGCTGATTGCCCCTGTGCTGATCACATGTACCCTCCCAAGAAAAGAAAAAAACCTCTCTAGCAATACACACCAATCTGAGCATGTGCATGTGACCACGGGTTCAGTCTGTATCTGGTGCACTACAAGTTTTCTGTAATTATAGACCAAGGTGATGTGCAAAGTGGGGGTCATCAACAGACAGCACAAGATTAGCACTGGTGTTCACAATCATTTCTTTTTACAGGGGCTTTATGGACATGATTTAACTATACAGTGAAGAGAAAGGAGATCAAATCACTTCAAGCACCCAATCACGTGAAAAGGCTTTGCTTATTAAAGTGGTTCTAAAGGCTCAAGGTTTTTTACCTTCATGCATTTTATGCATAAAGGTGCAAAAAAGACTCAGTGCAGCAGCCCCCCCAATACTCACCTAAGCACCCTCTCAATCCAGTGATGTGTCCCGGAGTCTCGGCTATCCTGAGGCTCCCTCTTCTCATTGGCTGAGACAGAAGTTGGAGCCATTGGCTCCCACTGCTGTCAATCACAGCCAGTGAGCCAATGAGAAGAGAGAGGGGGCGGGGCCGAGCCGTGGCTCTATGTGGGAATGGATACATGGAGCAGCTAGTGCCCCCATAGCAAGCTGCTTGCTGTGGAGGCACCCCACAGGAGGGAGGAGCGTAGGCAGGGGGACCTGAGAAGAGTAGGTTCCCAGGTTCCACTGTGCTGCACTGTGAAAAAAAAAAAAAAAAAATGAACCACTGCACACAGCAGGTAAAGCATATAGACATGTTTTTTTGCTATTATTTTTTTTTATACAAAAATAAGCCTTTAGAATCACTTTAACCCACTTTAACCCCTCCCACCACCACTGGGCTTGATACACAGAATATAACTGGATACTAACATTTATAGGTAAAATTGATCCAGGGAATATCCAATTGCCTCTCCGGGGGTCAGGAAGGATTTTTTTTCCCTGCAGGAGCAAATTGGATCATGCTTTGCTGGGTTTTTGTTGCCTTCCTCTGGATCAACTGTGGGTGTAGGATTATAACTTCTTTTTTTTTAAGGGTTGAACTGGATGGAATTTTGTCTTTTTCAGCCCAACCACTATGTAACTATGTATTTAATTACGTAACCTCCAAGCCCTTTAAGAGGTTCTAAATTCCAGGAGCTGGAGATGGGCATTACAATCATGTGGCCGCTATGATTGGCTCTCAGTGGTCACATGATCAGAAAGCTCCTGATCATAAGTATGCATCGGGAGCTTTCCGGCACCTGCAGGTAACTGTGCTGGGAGAATGCGGGGCGCACACTCAGCACACTCTCAGCACAGAAAATGTTTACATAGGGATGCATATGTATGTATGAACAGGTTAAACTCCCCTGCATATGATTGGTTGTTTGAAGTGTTTACAGGTTCGCTTGATCTCTCTTTACTCCTTAAAATATCCCTAAAACCCCCAAATTTTTGTTTCTTTGTTTTTATACCTCATGAAATAATCCTCTTTGTGTGTGTGGGGGGCTGTGTTCATTGAGTAGGTTAACTTTACTTCCTGTCTCAAGACACAACAGGAAATGAGAGGAGATCTCTCCGAAGTAGGTGAAATCTTCACCAGAACATTGGAAGGTTTCCCCTATTTCTGTTCCAGTGACAAGTCAGAATTTTAGATTTTCCAGTTTCCTTCATTTCCATTGACAGTGGTCACCAGGACAAATGCAAAGAGTGAACCACCCCAACAAGGATACAGACAGCCATGAAAACCTGAAAAGGGGTCTCTCAGCTGACTTCATGTGAAAGTACCAGTTGCCTGGCTGTTGTTTTCTGGCCCACTGGCTTTTGGTCTTTTGTTAGGTAATGAACTGGAACAAGCTAGCAGATCAGCAAAGTCAGAAGTCATTATCTGCAGACCTGTTTCCAGTTGCTGATAAAAGGTAAAAGGGTCCGCATGATAGAAAGGTCGCAGATACTGCACTTCAGTACCGCAGACATTGCACCCTACTGCCAGCCAGCACCCCGGACTCTGAACCTCCCTGCCTCCCAGCACTCTTGACAATGCACCCCAACATCTAAACCTTTTCCATTGCACCCCTGGCTCCCAGCACCCCTGATAGTAACCCCCAAATCCCTAGATGCTGCACCTTTCATGCAGAGTGGAGAAGAGTCCAATCCCAAAATTTCTGGGCTCTCCACCCACCCCCTCCTTCTAGAGACATTGTAGCTGAGTACCCGTTTACACCCCATGCTCAGATGCAGCTGCAGGCTCCTTTACCTGGTTTCCCACAACACTGCACGTTCCTGGTTATGTGCATGGAAGCTACATTTCTCTGCTTCCCTCCTTACCCACTTGCCCTCCTGAGGATTTACCCCCCTTTCTGATCAGGCCATTTGTTGCGTTACAGCGCTGCATTATTTTAACTGAGAATTGCGTGGTCATGCAATGCTGCACCAAAATGAAATTTACGTCCCTTTTTTCCCATGAATTGAGCTTTCTTTTGGTGGTATTTGATCGCCTGTGTGTTTTTTTATTTTTTGCACTATAAGAAAAAAAGACCAAACATTTTGAGAAAAAAAACAATATTTTTGACTTTTTGCTATTAAACATGTCCAGTAAAAAAATTTAAAAAAATCAAATTTTATCATAAATTTAGGCCAAAATGTATTCTGCTACATGTCTTTGCTAAAAAAAAAATCCCAATATGTGTAAATTAATTGGTTTACGTGAAAGTTATACCGTTTACAAATGGCAGTATATATACTGGAATTTTTTATTTTTTTTACTTTTACTAGTAATGGCGGTGATCAGTGACTTATAGCGGGACTGCAATAAGTTCCACTGGGGAGAACTGACTTGGTGTCACTGAGATCCCCAGTGACACCAATACAGTGATCAGTGCTAAAAAAAAAAAAAAGCACTGATACCGTACTAATTGGCACTGGGCAGGAAGGCGTTAACATTAGGGGCAATCAAAGGGTGAACTGTGTGCTGGGAGTGTTTTTACTAGGGGGTGTGTGTGTGTGTGTGATTCACTGTAATCACACTGCTGTGGATGGCTGTGCTGAGCACAGCCACCCACAGCAGTGTGCCCGAGCTGACAGGGAGGAGGACTGTTAGTTAGTAAACAAAACAGTCCTCCTACCCTTCAGAGATCATTGAAAATCACTGGGCGCCTGCGAGTAATTACCATCCGGGGCCCGGTGATTGATAGCAGTGACCGTGAATGGTGGTGCGGGAAGGGCGCGCATGCGGCTCCTGCGTGCTCCCTGCCCGTAAATGCAAAATCACACCCCGTAGCAATATTTCTGCTATAGGGCGGTCGGCAAGTAGTTAAAGAATATGTAAACCCAAAATTTCATATTCCTGATATGTGCCTGCTGTACCATGTACTTGTATGAAAAAGTATCCTGTTCTATTTGTATTGCTTCCTTTGTGTGAAATCCCTGGTATCCCTGATAGTCCCTCTGCTTTTCTATTAAAAACTGACCACACTAGATACTAGACAGGAGAACACACTGTGGTCAGTCCTCTAGCTGTGCTGCAAACTCAGCCTGTTCTCCTCCAATGACCGGACTTGTTCTGACACCCCCTCCCCTTCCCTGCACAGCATTTCACTGGGAAGATCTGTGTGCTGCTGTTTCTCGTCCCCTAACTCCTATGCAGCTGAGAATGTGATCACTTATAAAAAAGGGAAAAAAGGTATTTAAAATGTGTTTTGTACATCTATACACAAATGTTTTGGCTTTCAGTTTTTGTTTTTTAAACTGAATGGGTTGTTTTACACGGTAGGGGTTTACAATCACTTTAACTAGTCTATAGAGAGAATACACATCACCCCAGTGTTCTTGCTGTGTCTTCACATATAGACCGCCATTTTTCTATATCTCCCTATCACATTCCACCCTGGCTCTGCCTCTCCAAGGTGGACAACACGCATGTTGACTGATAAAGTCATCTGATTGAGTGTACCCCTGGGTACTGGGGATCTTATGCTTGGCCATACTTCAAAATTCTGAGTGTTTGGTGCTGTGTCAGAAAAAAATGACTGTGTCTTTTTTTGTCTGTTCTTGTGCTTTGGCTACAAAGTCAAAATGAGTAGACTGCCTTAACAAAACACATATTAATTTACAAAACAACACGTTAGCACACAAACGGTCTGGTCTGAAGAAGCCCTTGAAGTATATCTAAAT